AAGGTAAGTGTCAGACTACAAGCGAAACACATACAATAGCTCAACTTCCGCAAGAAAATTATTTGACATTAAAAATCTATCGCGACGGGCATGCTGAACCGACTTTCATAACCATTTTGCACGATAATCTCTGCATAATCTTATACTTGTTAGAAGCAAAAGTCAAATCGATGATAAATAAGGCAGTAATTTTTATCAAAAAAGCATGGGTGTACTGGACATTTTTTCGTTGTTTGACAAGCTACAGTTTGTAAGCCGAGCTGCAAACATATTGATGAGCTTCGCCTTGTATTATGGGTTACCCTTTCATGAATGATTACAATAACTTTTGGTCGGGAGGCAAATCGATCCGTTTTTAATTCAGTTGTTCTTGTTTTTTCTGTAAGGCACACGTAATCTTTGCTATTCTGATTGGTTATATATGCCAGCACTTTAAGAATGTCAAACAATCCTTTGATGATCTAAACAATTGAGGTTCATCATGTTCACTACAGTAGGTACTTTTTCAAACGGCCATAAGGTCCAAAGAGACGATCATCTTAAGTAATGAATAAAATGTCCTTGTTGAGGTCTGTTATCTAACGTGCAGCCAATAACTGGTACAACTAAGTGGTTGAAAAAGGTGCAGTAGTTAGGCGTTTTTGTGCTACCAATGTAAAATTGAATCCCCGAGATTCGCAAATGAGCATTTTTAACGTATCGAACAGTGCAGAAGTTGGCTGATACTATATAACTAATTTATATTCATTTTTTCTCAGGTTACCCTTATCGTTAATTCAGACGAAAAAGAGCAGATATGCTGGAAGACTGCGCTTGATTTACATCCAGCGTATTCGCTTCGCCTAACTATAATTTGACACTTGACAACTGATCTCAGCAAATGATATTTTGTCTAACTCAATTCATGCAATAAAATGTCAACCTCGCTGAGTCGTTGCTTCTACGGTAGTGTGAAGAAAATTTCAGTGGCGCTGCATTGATGATGCAGGGGTGTTAGTGAAATTGGCTAATTCTTTGTTTGCTATAAGAAAAAATATGAGTGAATGAATGTGTCAGCTAACAAGATTGCAGCAAAATTATCGGAGGGAACGTAATTACGTGATCAGCAAGTCTAATAATTTCAGTGGTCACTTTTCGTGAGTTTGATCTTGCGTAAGCCTACCTAACATTAGTACACCTACCGTAACTCTACTGGGGCTCTACAGTGCAAACTGAATTATATCAGTGTGATCAACTCATATAACCCAACTCGACAAAGTTCGTAGGAGACTTTGAAATCCTAGCGGCAAGATTATCGAATAGTATCGATTGATGATGTCAATTATGTGCAGTGCACCACTATCCAATAAGTATTGGCCCAAAATGTCAAAACTTCAGATTTCAATGAAAATCCGCCTATTTTGGTTACCTAACATGGTGATCACTATCATCGTATCAGCTTCACGCAATGGACTTTTTAGGCTTACGGTGAGTGCACGGTCGGAAGTCAAAATCACGAATTTGAGTAGGAAGTGGTCTACTGTGGTTATTTGATATGTTGAATACAAAAGAGGTATCTTTACTGTACGGTAGCGCCTTATTATGGGGCTAAAATAGGTATACGATATGAAGTCCGACCATGGATTCGTGTAAATGCTCTGAAGAAAGAAGCTTAAGACGTCGTTTAAAAAGTGTGTATTAACAACTCTAAGTCTCAAACGTCCATAAAAGAACTTTTATGAAACGCTGCTATGTTTAGCTAAAAATCCACGAAAAAGTCCTCTAATAGCTAAGCAAAGAGTCGTGCTCTATAATCAAAGACACAAGTAAAGGATTTTGAGGTAGCCTGTAAGATTTTGAGGGGTGGTGTCT